AGCATTATGCTTTTACAGCAAGTCACAGCAAACTTTCAGCAATGTTAGCAGCTGCTTTGGTGGCCACTGCAGTGCAAAGGGAGATAATGGCAGCAGTAATGCTTGCTATTATCAACAGACCTAGCAGTGGTTGGTTGCTAGTTTCCAAATCCCTCTGAGCTGCATTATTTTGGGAAGGATGCATAGAAGCCATGATTCTGCTCACACATACACTGATACACTGCTCTCTCTGCCACTGTCTGCCTTCCTCATCTCACCTTAGTAACATGCTCCTCTTCCATATCATCATCATCTTCCTCAAGGCTAGGGAAAGAAAGAAAAGCCCAAAAAGTTTCCTTTCAAAAGATCACTGAAAGTTGGTTTAAAATGACATTTGGCAACAAAATAACAATCTCAAAAGAGATGACTGTATCATCTTAGGAATGACTTCAGATCTTAACTCGAGAGAAAAAAAAAACTGAGCTCATAAGAATACTGCATGATCAAGTCAAGCCTTGCTCTTTAAAAATAAAAATGTAGGGCTGTGTATTTAGCAACTTCAAGACTCAAGACTTTTTTTTTTTTTAATAAATGTGATGCTTCTGAGCCCCCAGCATGAGCTAATCAGTGTTACACTGTTCTTTGGTGTGTTTATTTATTTGTTGTTTTTTCCCTTAGAGACAATATGCCACCCTCAAGCTATTGCATAAAGACAAGCTTCAGGAAGATGTTTAGTTGCCATATAATTCCTCAAAGGCAAAAGCAGTTTAATGTTTGATAACTGCTTCATTTATATGTAGTTTGAGTATTTTGCAATTTGAGGCAGGAGGATCTGTCTTGATAGTGACACTAATTAGTAAAATTATGTTTTAGATGTATTTGACTTTTCTTGCTAAAATATGGCTTCTGGATTTCTGCATAAAGCAAGAGGAACAATCACACATAGTGTGCACATGGTTTTCATACTGAAGTTCAATTTTTAGAAATGTGAACATCTCTCCCTTTAGAATACCAAAAGATGTCAATGTTAATCCTGCAGGAACTTCCTCTCATGCCCCGAGGAACATTTTGTTTTTCTAATATAAAGAATTTGATCTCAAGTCATTTACCCAGCAGCCAGAAGGTTTCTTCAAGGACCTAAGTCTGGGTGAAGGGAGGACATGCTCTGCATTTTAAGATGCATTTCTCAGAAGACACTTCAGGTCACTGTGCTGTCAACACAAGGAAGATCCAGCCTAACAAAAGCATTTGGAATTGCACGCACTACAACAAATGTCCACTTTTCATGGCTCAAACAGAGGAAATTGCAGATCTGCACACTACACAGCCAAACCTCAGATGCAGGAGGACAAGTACTCCATAGAAGAATCCCAGAGAGGCACTCAAGGAAGTAATCACACCTAGAAACCCAGTCATTAAGGGAAGTYGAGCACAATCCAGAAAGTAACGTGTTGGTATGGAAGTGCCCATCCTTACCCCGACACCGCTTTCTTCTCCTCATCACTCTCATATTCGTCAAGAATCAGCTCCTCCTCGTTGTGATCCAGCTGCTCTAGGACCTCTGCTCCTCCTCCCTCCRAAAGCATCTCCTTGCTGAGCTGAAGAAGGCGCTTTGTCTCCCCCTCCTCCGCTCTCTGAAAGGAGCACGCGATCCCCTTATTCCTCATTCAGAGTAAGAGGCAGCACTGACACCACTGGATTTATACCATGGACAGGTCAAAAGACAGTGCAGTCCCTCATGCCTATTACAAGGAGTGGTCCCATGGGCAAATCCCCAGCAGGACAAACAAATGCATCAAGCTATTTAATGACACAGAATGCAGCTGATACCAGTGGCCAAAATTTGCTCACACAGACATACATGAATGGGAAAGAAAACAAACAAACAAGAGATCTGTGCAAAGGCCTACSAAAATGGTACCAAAATCTCCTAAAAGGGTAAGAGGCACATAATCCAGTACCCTATTCCTTGAAGAGGTCAACAAAAGGACTGGGGTAAACATATGCAAAAAAGGCCCAACCAAGTAAACATTTAAGGAAATCATGAAGCAGTCTGTCCAAAGTTAGAATAAGCTCAGTAACTGTTTTAAATTGAGGAATACAAGACTTCTCTTGCTGGTTCTCTTCCAAATTCTGTGGTTCCTAGCATAGATCTAACATAGATCTACCCCTCTACAAAAATTCTGTTGAACTGCTGAAGAACAATTTTCATGGTTAGTTCTGTTAGAGTTCTTAGGTCAGTGTGAAAACAGTACCCTCCAGCTTCAACAAGTGCTCCTTTAGCATGTTGTTATGAAGAAAAGCAACAAGCACTACAGAGCAGATAGATAATATAGAGATTTAAGAAAACAAATGATTTATCTCATCTGCTTTATCCCCTTTTATCATGCTTCCCATTCTGTTTTCATTTACCATTTACCTCTGAACCTTTGTCATTTCTGCTACATTCTTTTGGCAGGGTTTGACCAAAACTGACTGCAGCATGTCAAATGGAGCAAATTAGAAACTAAAAACCTGACAGCCTAACAAGTCTCTCTGCTTGACAACCTAAAGGGAATATTTCTGAGAAGTCTGATGCACAAACTTCTGAGAAGTTTTCGGTTCATCAAAAACTCTTAGAGTGCTACAAGCAGTTAATCCATCTAAACGGAAGAAAAAACAAGTAGAAAAGACCACAGTTGTTCACTGTTGTTGAGCAAAGTACAACCAAAGTCTGACTTGAATTTTTTCTTTTGGTCCTACAATCTTAAATTTAGTCCCAGATCTATGGGTTTTATTCTGGTTATACACAAACAGTATTCATGCATGCTCACAAGAGACTTGTGAAAAAGACTTGATATAACCAATATAAAAACTTCTAAGCATTGTAGGACAACTCACTTTTCTCTTTGCTGCGTATTTTAACTGCACATTATGGCGAATTTTCTCCAGACGATCTTCTCGTTTTTTTCTCCTGATCTGCTCTTCCTAAAACAAAAGGGAAAGCAGAGCAAGGATGAAATGGGTTTAATCCTAAAACTCAGGTATAATTGCTTTCTAGTGCCCTGGAGATAAAAAAAAAAAAAAAAAAAAAAAAAAAAAAAAAAAAAAAGAACAAACAATCTACCCACTCTGAATCAAAACTGTTGCTACGCAGTCCCTTTCTCCTTAAGTGTGTGCCTATTGCACATCATTAAGCTTGCTGCAAGGTAGTTTCCTGTCTTACAGCATCCACACACAGAGCAATATTCATCCTTTCTAACTGGAACTGAGTTCTCTGGAATAAGACCTTGGTCATGGAAGGCTGCATCACTTGTTTCTCCACCCATGGTATCACCCATTCTCACCCTCACACTTGCCTATTTTCCCCTTCCTCTATAAGGGAGCATTTCCCAACCTTGAGYCTGTCCACCTTATCCCGTTCTTCCTTCTTCTGCACAAACGCAGTAACCCAGTCTGGTTCCCGGGCTGAGCCTTTGCTCTCTGGACATCCGGGCTCATGCAAAGTCCCCTTCCGAAGGGACTCATCCGAATCCAGCAGCTTTTTCTCCTCCTGCCCATCGTGTTCGAGCGCTAGAAGCCGGGCCTCCTCCAGCTTCTTTTTTTCCTCAAAGTCTCTGAGCCAGGAGAGGGCTCCGCAGATAAGACTTAAAGACTTCCCCTGTCATGGAAAACAAACAGGACAGTCAYGTGCAGTTGGAGCACTGGTGGCACGGGCAGTCACACAGCAACGCTCCTCCAAAGGAGAGCSGCACATGGGGACAGCTCCAGCTTAGCAGGATCAAGACAGGCCTATGTATGCAGGTACGGGAGAGTTCGCGTGTCATTATGCAGCATTTCCCTTGTAAACGGCTTCTTTCCACCTTTCCCCTTCCACCTGCCCGGAGTGACACCAATGTTGACACCACGGAGGGGACCAACCCGGGGCCACTYGTGAAGCCCCAGAGCCCCGGGTGCCCCCGGCCCCTCTCCGCAGGCACCCTCCCCAGCCCTCCTCTACATGACCACCCGCCGGCACCGGCACCCTCCCGCCATCCCCTCCCGAGCTCACCGTGCCCGTGGGGCTCTCGAAGATGCCGACCTGGCCCTTCTCCAGGGCGCCGTAGAGCGCCGCCATGAACCGCTCCTGGATGGCATAGGGCGCGTAGGGGAAGGGGAAGCGCGCGGGGAGCGGCCCCTGCGCCGCCATCGCTGCCGCCGGAGGGCAC